ACTTATCATACACATTTTTCCTTGTAATTTTCCATAAATATGTATCAACAAATTTGACATATTAGACAGGCCTGGAATAGAAGTTAATGAGCAAGAATGCATTTAAATACAATGCAGTGCTGTGCATAAGCATTTTACAGAGTTAATATACAGTATGAACAATGAATTTTGTCAGGTCAAAAAAGCATTTGGCATATAGAAAGAGAAGGTTATCATCCACTCAGATCTCTTTGGAACATAAATAGCACCTCTAGCTAATAAATGATTGTCTAAAAAAAAAGGTCTAGCCAATATATTCAAGTAAAAACCGTACAGTATTGCAAAATATAAAAAGGAAGAAAAAAATCTTAGTCAACAACAATGGCTACTGCATATTTAATTATTGCATAGCAATACGAAGTTCTGTTGGTAGACTGCAGAAGTGGTGAACTTTCCAAGCAGGCCATAAGTGGGAAATGCACCTATGTCACACTTAAGGAAGGGTATTTATGTAAGTGCTTTATGTACCACTCTTCAATCTCAATAACTTTAGGTAGAACTTTTAAGAGTCAGAGGCTAATGTAGACCTTTCATTCAATTGCATACTTGCAAATAAAAATAAAAGTAAAACTTGGAAAAGTTATGAAAAATGGTCAGTGCTTTTATATCTTACTATTCAGGAGAGATATGCAAAACCTCAATTTTAACTGATTTTTTTTAATAGGAGTGTTGTTTGAAAGGCCTTGAGTATCCTCATTTTCCATACACTTTACAAGAACATCGTATCCATCAGTAACCCATATGATCTTGTCATATATCTGTTAACTGCAATAGATGAAAACTCAGTGTATTCACAAATCATCTAGTTAATCCTTCCACAGCAAAAACAACCAACCAACAGCACCCCTCCCCCTGCAATTGTTGCTTTTTTATACTCTAAAAACAATGAAAACTCCCAGTGATCTTAGGCCACTCTGACAAATGAGTCATGGTAGAAATATCAGTGTTGTGTAGTACTATAACTTTCTGAATGAATTTCTAATATAAATAAAACCAGCAGAAACTGAAAAAAAATATACTCTTGTAGAAAAGCTTTAATTTTTCTTTCATTTGCTGAAGTCTGTTATCTGTTTACAAATACATTTTATTTATCAGGCACAGTATGCAACTTACTCTAAAGTATTATATATATTTTATATATAAAATATATAATATATATATAAATTAGAGCTTTATATACAGGGGAATACACACACGCAGGCGCGCGCGCGCACACACACACACACACATACATACATACATACATACATACATACATTCCAAAATGTATTCTTATTTCTCTGAAAATAAGAATAATGAAGATTATAAACTGCTGAAGGAAGGCTTGAAAGGAAATCAATAATTTTCCTTTGGGATTAAACAGATTTGTTCAGATATTTATTTAAATATACGTTCTATATTTTATAATCTACATTCAGAGTTATGTTTTAATTATTTACATAGACTATCAAAGTAACAGATATTGTGCGTTAATTTAGGGATTGATTCATTAGGAATATTATGCAGGCCTAGCTAAATTTGCCAGTTGCAACAAACCCTGCATTTGCTGTGTTATATCTGATACTCCTGAGATCTGATATGGAAAAATAAGGCTGAAGCCTCCCCTGAAGCCCCATCACCTCCAATGTCTGCTAAAGCTCTTTGACTGTGGTAGGTTCTTTCTGTTGGCTTCAGCGGACTTTGTATTAGATCCTAGAAGGCAAGAATAGTTTGCAGACTAAAAGGAAGAGTATCTTTGAAGAAACAATCAATCACCTGTGTTGTTAAAAACAGCACATGAAGAACAATCATTATGCCTTGGCCTCAATCCAACTTTTTGTGATCATCTTCCCCAGCCGCCTCACGAGAAGGAAAGAGAGCTAAAATTTTATATTATTTACAAATCAGATGATAAACTTTTTTTTCAGGGATGCACAATGTGAAGCGTTCTGTAACACTCCTTTTTAAAACTGTTTTGTATGTACTAACAATATAATGCTTCCATTTCATTATTTCCATTAATTTAGAAATGGAAAGAAAAAAAAAGGAGAGACAGCATCTCACACAGAGGGCAGTAGATCTTTGTATGTTTAAATGAAGCATGGAGTTTTTACACCACTTCATTGGTGTAAAAACTACACCAGTAAGTCTTCAGAAGGCAGTCTATAAAGCAATGTCAATTGATAGAAACAAAGAATATGGTCATAAACATGCAATGCCTGTAAAAAATGAAACTAAGTGACTTCAAATATTTGAGAAAATTCCTAATAAACCGTATAGGCTTTATCTCTGTGTTTTTTGTTAAATATGTTCTTTCAGGGTCATGCACGTCTCCAAACTGTAATCGAGAGGTAGATGATGACAGAGAAAAAAATTGAATGGCAAAAGAAGCACATGCAAATTATGTTGAAATTATATAGCACATTGTTTATGCAAAGGTGCCTGTACATGCAAATGCTTTTAATATATATGTAAAAATATCAGAAAAG